TCACCAGCATGCTGGGATGGTGGGGTGCAGTTTGCCACTCTAGCAATTACCCCTACCAGCATGTATTACCTCGGATTCTGATAACAGTAAGCAACCATGAAGCATCATTTTATTGAAGTGTTAGTTGTTTCCTAACTTGTACATAAAAATGGTCATAAAGTCACTATTGAGAACATGATTGGCCTATGGGTTACTCTTACAAATATTTTCAGAAGGATTTAAAAAACATATAAAGAATTTAAAATATTATATATAAACTCAACACACTATTCTCATTTTGAGCAATCCAGGGAGGGAAATGCAGAAAGTGTCCTTTGTGACTGCCTGTGAGGATACTGTGTGCAGAGATCAGCAGTGAGGGGGCTGACATGGCAAGAGTTACCTCCTGTCATAAAGTGCAAGTGTGCACATTAAGCACTTTTCCACATTTTTCCACACCTGTATTGGAATGCCTTCACCTAAGGGAAATTGTTCCACGTACATGTACGTCAGGTTTATGCTGATTCAGCCAGAGAAGTTTAGGTAATAAGTTTTACAACATGTAGGGAAAATGTAATACCTATCATATTTGAAGCAAAATATTTTTTAAAGACATGAGTGAGTTACCTTAGTGTTTTCTTATTAAAAAAGACCTGGCAATTATGTTTAAAACATCCATCTTGTTGTAAATATTTTAATTAATTGTATTTATTAGGAGATGAAATTTACTTCAACCATCCTTATTCTTTTATTTTTTAACAGTACTGTTCATAAATATGGCCAAAATTCTACAGATTAGATTTTTATTCTCCCTCCCTGCTCCCACAAGGGTGGATTTCCCTTCTTCCCTTTTTGACGAGTTTGGAATCAGATATTTTTCCTTTCCACTTACCAAGGGATTAAAAATATAAAACTTGGCAAGGAAATTGCTGTCTGTGAACCAGAGTGAACATTATTTGATGTAACCCAGATATAATAGTTTCTTCTGCAAGCTGAACTTTTTGAAGCATAAGGAACATAGGAATGGTTTAGTGGCCTGTGCAAATAAAGAGACAACAACTTTAACTTGTAAGTATGGAGGAGAGTTTTTGCTTTGGAAAGAACACGAAGGAAATAGAATTTTAAAATAGCTCCAGCCTGGGGGAAAGAAAATTCCACATGAAAAAATATTCAATTTCAAGTTGAAGATTTTGGTTTGATTTGTTTATTTTTTGGGGTTTTGTTTGGTTTTTTTTGTTTGTTTTGTTTGGTTGTTTTTGTTGTCCTGGGGTTTTTTTCTGAAACTTTACAATTTTTTATTTATTCTGGACTGGTATGATTCAAATCTTGGTGGCTGCCAGGTCCTTTTAAATGAGCATGAAATTGGCAGACTGGGACTGTGCTGGCATTTAAAGCACAGCAGTAGCAGCCATGATCTAGAAGGAACTGCTGCATCCCTTGTTTATAAATACTTTTGAGAGAGGGCCAGAGGGGCAGCTCTCCTCATGCTTTATATCAAAAAGTTTTCAGTGTGAGGTGCAGTCAGAGCATGAGTCTGAGCTTTGTCACCTTGTGTTTCTCTGAAAATGCAGTCCTAAAATGGAGCCATTACCTCCTGTCACACGTGTTTCTCAAAAGAAATATGGTTTTGTGTTGTATCCTGGGCAGCTGTTAAAATGGCTGCAGGTAAAGAGGCAGGAAGAGCCTTTGTATGGGTTCCACAGAGATGTTTATTTCAGCCTGGTGCTTGGATAGTCCAGGGTCAGAGGCAAAGCAAAGGCAGAGCTCGTGGTGAGGGTCCAGGTTCAAGTCCATGGGTGTTTGGGGCAGGGGGAGCATCAGAGACCAATTACCAGGGGACATGGGGGCAGCACAAAGGTGGGGTTAGGGCATGGGAGCCAACGGGGAAACAGGGTGGGAGTGACTGAAGACTGAGGAGCAGGGGAGGGGACCAAGCCAGGGAACAGAACAGGGGTACACTGGCATTTGCTGTGAGAGAAGGTTTTTGTGTCTGCCTAACTGGGAATGCCTCGCAGTGTCTCCACAACTCTCCCTTTCTTTATTAGTTAAGAAAGTTTCTGTCAAGGATTCTAAAATTAAATATTTGAGGCAACTGAATGAACACAAAATGACAAAAACAATCAAAAGCACCCATAAGACAATTTTCAAAATGCAAGCCATCCCCTGAGTCCCCAAGTATCTGAACAGATTTTCTGAAGCGTCCTAGAGCTAGTAGGAGGGAGGCGAGGTTTTCTTGCCATAGCTTATCAGAAAATTGAGTCAGGAAAGGGATTCCTGAGCAAGGACTGGTACTTGGTTGTTAGCAGTGTGGTCGGCTGTGACTGAATCTGTCCGAGGTACAGTGTGTTGTAAATGAGAAACAAAAGTCTCGATATTCAGCAAAATTTAGATTGCTTTATTTGATATAAACAGAGCAAGCAGTGCTGGGGAACATGAGGGGTCACTGCCCACTCCACATTCCATTGAACCCCAGCCCACAGCCTCTTCTTATACTGTGGTTTCTCGTTGTAATCAATAATTTTTGGTTTTCTGCTGTCATAATTTTGCCAGGTAAGTAGTGGTGGTCGAATAAACATTCTCATCCAAATTCACAAAGCCTTTGGGTGATAATCAGTCACAGATAGCCATCTGGTCCTTGTAGATAACCACCAGAGAAGTTCTGGAAGTCTGGTCCTTGAGATAGGCAGCACTGATCAGACAAAGGCAGGAAAGACTATAGGGAAGTCTCATTTTGCAAGCTGGTAGTAGGTACAACTTATTTGGAAAACATAACATATAACATAACATAACGTATAACATAACATATAACATAACATAACATAACATAACATAACATATAACATGGTGATTTAAAACAGAATGATTTAATAAAATATTTTCCTTTATCTAGTGTTGACGCTTCACTTCAGACCTTAATATTCTGGTTCATACAAACCCCAATACTTTTGTGATTAACACTAATCTTTCATCAATTATCATAATTTCCCCACTTCTTTTTTTTTTTAATCCCATTGATTCATCTTTGGGCTTCAAATTTTGTCAGTACTTCTTGTACTAGATTTTAATTTATCCACTGCCATTAGTTTTGTTGTCGACTCAGGATTCACTGGTATTGTAGCAACTTGCATTCCTTGAACCACCAACTGGATTAGTCAAATGAAGCAGGGAACAAAACAAGGGATGAACAGTAGTCCTAATAATGCACATGTTACCATAAACCCTAATTTCTTCCACCAAGCTCCTCCCAACAGGTTATTCCACCATTTATCATTAATTAACATAGAGTTCCAGGTTTGTACAGGTACATGGGCTATTAGTTTTATTTCTTCTGCAATTTTAGTAATTACTTCACCATTATCATTTCTGCTTATTTCTAAGCAGCATTCAGAATTATTAAACTTCCCACACACTCCCCCTTCTTCAGCTAATAGATAGTCCAAGGCTAGTTGATTTTGATATACTGCTGCTCCAGTTTGAGTAAGTTGTTTAGCTATCAGTTCCATTGCTCGGGCTGTCCGGTTGGAAGTAATTTCTACTATGGCTTGTAGCCTGATAATTCTATTTAGCATATAAATTGGAGTGCGATCGCCCCAGCTCCCATTTTGAGCCCAGGTAGCTGGTCCATAATATTCAATAATTCGTTCTGGGGGCCATTCATCATCCTTCCAGATTTGTGTTCCCCCTATGGTGGGGGTCCTTTTGTTTCGAGGCAAAGTTTCATACAATGGAACTCCTAACATTCTATTACCCTTTTCCTTTGGTAATGTAAAAAATGCAGGCTGGATAATCCCTAGAGTACGTCCTTCTCCATCTTTTTGGTAGCTCTTTTTTCACAGATCCAAAATATTCCGTCTGGGACTTTCCAGCTTAGCTGAACTGATTCAGGTCGTTGCCAATAGATTCTTACACTTTTTACTTCTTTGTATGGGTCTCATTATACCATAGTCCTCTCAAATTGTTCCTTATACAATAACCTTTACTTAACTTTCCCCAATATCCTTCTGGAGCTTTGGGCCACCAAGACCGATTACTTGCATTTGTAATCAGGATAGTCTTACAGCGGGTGTGCCCCACATATTGGGTAATGTTAGTTCCCTGACGTGTTATACATACTTCTCCTATTACCTCATGACTTAGAACCCACCCGTCAGGTCTATTGACTCCCCTCGATATTTCTGTTTGATTCCACTGTAACAACTGCTCTGGGCCCAATCCCTCCCCCCTCCATGGCCATTGCTCAGTCGTCTGCATTCCTCCACAGATCCAACAATGAGTTAAGTTCAGTTCAGTAGTGATTTCTCGCATTAATTTCACAAATAAATTATTTTCTAAGGTGGGTAAGTCCCGTTCGCTGAGCTGTTGTTTTATTTTCTCGTACAAATTAAAATTTCCCCCACGGTTTGTCCTTGTTCCTTTGAACACTTTAGTTATATTTTTTATCAATTCCTCCTTGTAGTGATCTTGCACTCCTCCCTGATCTGAATATCCCCACATACCTTCTTTTGTGAAGCAAGGTATGTCTCTCCTACTGGGCAGCTTTGGTATGCTGATGGAGCCCACCCTCCTTTTCCCAAATTGGTGGCTACCCAGTAACTTCTTCCCATAATAGTGCAAGTTTCTAAGTTGTGTTTATTACAGCAGGCCGAATTGATATGTGTATGGAAGACAAGGGTGGATACCGTGCATCCCCGTACCCAATTGTCTGGTGACACTTGGAACAAGCATCAGCACTATTTTCTTTTATCATTATTAGCAATAGGATGACTCCCATGACCATTTTCATCCCTCTGCCTCCCTCAAGGCCTATGGGGTTGCTGCCAGTAGCCAAGGTTTGTTTGATCTTCTCGGCAGCAGGGAATATGTCCTGGGGTCTCCCACTTTCTCTTTTGGTAGCCACCAAAAGTTTCTTAATTTTGTCCCAACTTTTAGCTTTAACATTCCAGTACGAGGTACAGCAGTAACAGCACGGTACACACAACCCTTTCCAGCACTCTTTTGCCAACATCTCCGCTTTGGCTTTCTTTTTTCCTCGTTCCATTCTCAAATAACTCCCACCAGTTATGATCATCAATTTCGATTTCTCCTTGTGCTGATAGGGTATTAAGCACCTTAACAGTTTCCTTACGTTTGTGTCTTCTACATTGGACACATAATGCGAATGGGAGATACCCACCATAGGAATGACACTACCACAACTCAGTACAATATGGACACCTCTTTTTGATGAATGGGTTGCAATCACACCCGGGTTTGGGACAGGTGACTTTCAGTCCTGACTGGGAGACCCTTGAGACAAATTGATCCGGTACTGACATCAAGTCCTCTGGATTCTCACTTTGAGGTCTCCAGGCTCAGATGTCACTGTCCATCCTGCAGTAGGAGAGGTTACAGGACACTTGACTCTACTCACATGTGTCCATCCCTTTCCAGTTGTCCCCACAACTTTTTCAGTTGTTAACAGAAACAAATAGGGGGCTTCCCATTTTGGATCCAGACTTTTTTTTTTCCGTACTTTAAGTAACACATGTTGTCCTGGCCTAATCTTTTGTATGGCAAATCTTAGAGGGACGATTTAAGGTAAAATTCCCTTCTCCCTTAATTCTTGCGAATTTTTGTTGATTATTATTATGTAATTCTGGAGGGAAGACTCCTGAACTATGGTCAGATCAAGGTGTACTCCTTTAGGGTAAGGCATACCATAAAATATTTCATATTGTGAAATTTCTGTTTTTGAATTTGGCATCATTCGTATATTAGACAGGGCTAGTGGGAGGCACTTTGTCCATGGCATTTTAGTCTCAATCATTAATTTTGACAGTTGTTGTCGTAAAGTTTGATTCATCTTTTCAACCCTCCCAGAACTCTGAGAGTGCCAGGGTGTATGATACTCCCAACTGATGCCCAGCACTGAGGTCAGTAACTTAAGCACCTTTGATGTAAAGTGCATCTCCTGGTCTGAGTCTCTTACTTGGACTAGGCCATACCTTGGGATTATGTGTTCTATCGATACTTTGGCTACCATTTGTGATGTGGCTCTAGCTGCAGGGTATGCCTCTACCCAGTGGGTTAATTGGTCTACTTTTACTTGTAAATATTCCCACCTTCTTATTTTTGGTAAGTCTGTAAAATCTATTTATATTCTTTCAAAATGTCTGTAAGCAGTTTTCAGTCCTCCTGATGGACCTTGTCGCATACTTTTTTATTAATTTTTAACAAGTTAAACAACCCTGGACGCTCTGATTTGCAATATCAAAAATGCCAATGCATCCAAAAAAATTTTTTAAATTGATCTGCTAGCACTCTGGTTCCCCAATGAGTTCATTGATGTAATTGTTCAATAATTTGTCTGGCCTAGGTTTTGGATGAAATTTCCCTGCCATCTGGTAAAACTCATTTATTTTCATGCTGTTCTGCCCTTGATTTCTTTATCGCTTCTTTTTCTTGAGGCATAATATCCACACAATTATGTTCTAAATTTTCTCCTGGTTCCCCTTATAGGAATTGTGCAGGACTTTGAGCAGTTGTTGCTTTTAGCTCTAAGTCTGGGGAAGTGATTAGAATAGCTTCATATTTTTATATTTGGGCATCGATTACTTCAATTTTCAAATCCAATGCTATTACTAAATCCTTCCCCAATAAATTATTTTCTGTCTCTGACAGTAACAGCAGATCATTTAATCTAATTTTGCTTTTGGGTCTCAATTTATAAATTTTTTTAATAACAAGAATCTGAAATGGTTCACCTTTTGTTTTAACCATGAGTGCTGTTTCTTTACTAGGTTTACACCCTTCTGGTAGATGTCTAATTGTGGAATTTTTGACTCCTGTATTTACTAAAAATTCCACCTCCTCTCCCTGAGGACCGATTCTTAATTTTATCAAGGGCTCTTTAGATAGTAAGGTCCCCAGTACATACAGCCCCTGACATTCCTATAGGTTCTTTTAATAATTTTCCCCTCTCCTTTTTTAAGTTTCTTACCTCCCCTGTGTTTAAGGGAACATTCACAAACCCAATTATTCCAGCCTGTTTTCTGCTAATGGAACTTCCCTGAGGGGGTAGAGTCGAGCCTTTGTGTCGTTATCTCTCTCCTCCCTGCTGATACTATCTCTCCTGGTGTTTCTTTGACTCCATCGAGTCCTTTGAGCTATGGGACTATCAGAGGGAGAGGGAGTGGAGGCGTTACAGGGGTCTCCTCTATTTTCTGTATTATACGGAGTTGGGACATTATCAAGGGGTTCCCAGGTAAGCTCTTTTTATTTTCATCCTCTTTTTCCTTCAAAGTATATATCGAGGATGGTTTGGACTGTTTTGCCCATAGAGCAGCATAGTTACACTGCTCTTTGTTAAATGGCTCTTTACAAGTAACATAAGTGTTTAATGCTCGACAAATCCACCCCTCAAATGATCCAAACATGGGCCAGTACAGATTATCTCTATGTAACAGTTGCTTGGTCCATTTCACCATGCAATAATGAATTAATTTTTCTTTACTTTTTCCTTTGTGTAACTCCCTTCTGTCCCAACATCTTAATATTTCTCCCAGAGGGCTGCCTGGGTCCCAAACCGGAGGGGAGGGACCGTGGGAGCCATCTTGTGCAGCAGGGGTAAGGACAGGAGAACCTGAAGAAGAAAACCTTTCCTGCGACAGGGGAGGGGGTGTAGGGGCACGAAGAGAGGAACATGGGGGAGACGTTTTTAACTGGGGTTTAGCACTTCCCGAATATGCATCAGGACTCGGAAGGCATGAAGCAATAGTCTGAAACAAATGACAAAATTTCATTACTGGTAAGTAGTCCTCAATGTGTAGCTTTCTCCAAATCTCTTCCAAAAAATCATCAGTTAGAAATAAGTCCTGTGAAACATATTGTTTTAGGCCGTTTTAAGCATTTATAAGAAAACTCTATAATCTGGAAGTGTTTTGAAGACAACATCAAGAGGAGATATTTTTTATTAACATCTCCAAGCTATTTCTAGAACTTATTTGAAGTATTAGCTTTTGGTGTTTTTTTAAATTAAGGACATCAGTGTTGCTTTTGGAACTTTGCTAAACTTCCTCCAAATGCTATGTATAATAGCAAATTCAGTTAAGTGTTTTAACACATGCTCATGTCTATTTTTAATACCATTTTAACCAGTGTTTGACTTGGACCCCATATATTCTTCATGCAGTTAGGGTACTTAAGCACCATGGAGTCATACAAAATTCTTGCACCCGTTTTCTCCTAACTGTTCCTCACCAAAACGGAGTGCTCTGCACCTAAGGCAGCACTGAACTGAATCATAATTTTTACATCCACAGCATGAAGAAGGAGCAAAGAACCATTTCTAGCAGCATGGGGGCCATCTCAGTGTCAGAGGGAGTGCTCTCCTATGTGAAACTAAACCTGCATCTGTCTTTGTGATGCATTTAAAATTTTCACAGAAAGGTATACCTGAAAAGTTAGGCAGAAATACTTTGTTTACCCATAAGCATTTTGAAGTCATTACATCTCACCTTTCGAGCAAAGTTCTTTTCTTCCTGAACCATTAGTCTCTGTTGAATATCACAACAATATCGCTCTGTTGAATATTTCTTTCTTTGGCACTTACACTTAGTGCTTTATTTGTTCATTGTTGTTATTATTTGCAAGAGTAGCCCCTTTAACACACATTTTATCATCATCATCATAATCAAAACAAATTATATACATGTCCAAACTTAAACCTGCTGCCTTTAACACTAATTCTTCATTCTTCCTTTGTTTAGGTTTTTGTTGGCATTTTGCATGCTCAGTGTTTTTTTGCAAGGGTAATGATAGATGTCCTGTGCCACCAGGGGAGGGGCTGCCTGAAAGTTATTTGGCAATAACTGCAGATGTGTGGCTCCAATTTAAAATCCCTCCAAGAAGAATCCTTCTTTTTCACCCTTCAGTTATATTTCTTTAAACAATACAGCAGAAATACAAGGATTTGTAGTCAGCTTTGGCATGCTAGTTGGCTGTTGCTGCCAAATTAATGTTAGTAGCTTTTGAAGAATGTCAGTGACTGAGGCTATAACATGACCCTGCAAGATTTTCCATGGCAGAAAGAAAGGCATGCAGACTAAAAGTGTTGTGTTATTTTGAATTGGAATTTTCACTTAGTTATTTTTAATGTAATAAATAAAGACATTTTTCAGTGGTGGTGATATTTTCAGCACCCACTGTACTGAAATCAAAGGTAATATCTTAGACCATTCATGCAAAGACCTGGAATCATATTTTGCCAAGACTCAGGCTGTTTATGTCATTAGAAAAAATACAATTGCATTAACAGAAGAAGGATAATTGCACATGTAAATTTGCTCATAAATCTGAAAATTTGTATTTGTTCATTAATTATAACCATACCTCAGGCGTAAAACTCCACTGGCTCCCTCATACTGAAATGGCTCTACTGGCTGAGGTTTTTGATATAGTGATGCACAGTTTGTGAATAATAACTAAAATAAATAGAAATCCATTTCATTTTCCTTTGGTAAATTATCTTCTATTACTTTTTCATGAGGTCATGTACATGCATAAGGTGTTTTTAATAGAATGACAAATGTAGGACTTCATCACATGTACCATGATAACTGTTTTCTGACTTGTATCAGGCATTGAGGGTGATCAGAGCTTTACAGCTATGGTTGTATGTGGAACAAAAACTTGCTTTTTTGATGAATTCTTGTATCATTTGAAAGATACCTAACTGGCATCAGAGATGAGAGCAGATATTAATTTCTTCACAAATATAAAAAAATTTATTTTCTCCTAAACAAAAAAAAAGTTGTTGGTTAGGTCCTTCCTATCCAGGCATACAAATAATTATGATCTGAAAGGAAGGACACTGCAGACCAGTGAATTAATTCTTTTAGTGAGTTTAATGAGCTTTGAATTAGGTTATGTGGTAATCAAAATGTAAATAGCACCACATCGTTTAAGACACTCACTGTTTGATAAAAAATTTGCTGTTCACTTTGTATTCAAAACTCCAGACTCCAGTTTAGTGTGAAACTTGGTTGGGATAATTTGATCATTTTTCAGACCTGTATGTTGCTTGTTCTAAAAGTCTGGGGTTTATATAAAATTTGCTGTGTCTACATTAGCAAGTAATATGGTGCAATGTATGAGCAGACTGAGGCGGTCAGAGCAAAAGCCTCTAGACCTACATCATCACTGAAATACAACCTAAATTGCACTAAAATGTAATGGATACAACCATGACAGAATCCTAACTGGATCCCCTTTACAAACAACTGGAAAAGCTTATTTCAGAAGCCTTTACATCTTCCTTTCTTTTATTTGGCAGACCACTTTTCACAAATCAAAGGAGCTAATTAAATGTATATTATTTATTTAATTTTATATTATTTACAAAGAAACAG